CCTCTTGTCCTTCAGAAAGATGGTAAAAACTGTGGGACCAAACCTTTGAGACAGTGTGATAAGGCAACAATAGGAAACTCTACCCTGCTGACCAGATCCAGTATGGCTGATCTGAGATGGTTTTCAACAATTGATTTTAAAGTGGAGATAACTGATTTTAGCGTTTGTCTATATTTATAGTTTATTTTATGTTCCGGCATTGAATGTTTGCCATATATATGTTGTGTTCTTCCCTGACTCCCCCTCGGGGTGAGAAGGATGGAATATAAATGCTTTAAATAAATAAATAAATAAATAAATGCATCCTAGGACACTAGGAGAACAGAGTCCCACTGGAAGTAGCCCTGTGTCATGTGATGGGCTCTGGCAGGATCCATCCTCCCACTAATAGCTGAATCACTAATAGCTGCCTTGATTGGGAGGAGGCTTTGCATCCTGTGATGGCGTGAGTGGTGCCACCTATATGTAGAACTGTTAGTTGCAAGATTTAAACTGTTGTATCATGCTTAATCCTGCCTTTTTACCCTGCCTATGTATAGCTGGATTGATTGGTTATTTATAGCTGTCAATCAATGTTGTTTGCACCAGTTGAATTGCTTTCTCAGTTCAATTGGTTGGCTCCACCTCTTCCTGGAGGAGGGGAGTGCTTCCCTTTTTCATTCCACCATCAGATTTTCTACCAGATGGACGTGAGTAAGAAACTTGGCTCTAAAAGACCCTGATTCATCACCAATTCTGAGGTTTTTACCCTTGAGACTTATGCTTCATGTTCAGATCAACCTGGATGATGTTGAGAAGTCTCAAGCGCCTTCAAACCAGTTCTTTGGCACCAGAGGAAGTCTTTGTCCTTTCATGATATAGGCCATTGGAATTGGGGTTGTGATCATTCCGATATTCACAGCCATTGAGAAAGAGGGACCTGGAAAAACTTCTCAGCTGCAAAACTCCTTGGACCCAAGACAACCAGAGACTGTAATGTATATTTCCCTTTACCCCTTTGAAACTTCCAGCTTATTGCCTTAAAGGGATAACTCTTTGTGAACAATAAAACCAATTTTGAGTTATCTACAATGTTTTGGTCCTTGGGAGTTCCAGTTTTCCTAAAGGAGGGCAAGAAGCAATCCCCTGGGGGAAAGATGTCATGTCCATGCCTCTTTCACTAAGAATAATAGCCCCCAGGTGTGACGGCACAATCCACCACAGCATCAGTATGAATCTTGACTTATATTTATTTTATTTTTATTATATTATATCCTGGTTTCATTTTCACTGTAGAACGTGAGACGCTGCAGAAAGAATTCTGCGTAATCTCCCATCTAATCACTGATCAGACACCAGACTGCTTGACTTTAGCAAGGTTTATGAATCATGTGCCACCTTCTCAGACCACACTTTAGGAACACAGAAATCAATAGCCTCCATTCAGTGCTTGTTCTGGAATAGTTTTAGCCAGGTTTTCTTTCTCTTTTGTTTTATTTATTTAAAAAACACTCCTTAAAACCAACTCCAGATGGGGATTCGGCCTCAGTGAATAATCTAGCGCTGCCTTTGGCAAATACCTACTGCAGAAGTTTTCATAAGATTTACATAAATCTAGACAAAATAAACTGACGCCTTTTAAGAATTTATATAAGGCCAGAGTAGACTTTCTGAGCTTTGGTAGTCAGCTATACAAACCTAGTTCATCAGTGTGATTATAGTTCATTTAAGTCTACTGTTTCCTTTCACTTGAACTATAACTTTCCAAGGGTGAAGTGCTAATTAGTGGTAGAAGATTACTGCCTATGGGAGCTGCTGAACAACAGAAAATAAGTCCTATTCTTCCATTTCTACACCACATTTAAGGACATTCCCTTCTAAAGTGTATATTATTGTGTAGCTGAGAAAGGCAAACCCAGGCTGCATGGCCATGTTCCAGAAGCATTCTCTCCTGACATTTCGCCTGCATCTATGGCAGGCATCCTCAAAGGTTGTGAAATCTCACAGCCTCTGAGAATGCCTGCCATAGATGCAGAGGAAACGATAGAAAAGAATGCTTCTGGAACATGGCCATACAGCCTGGAAAACTCTACAACTCAGTGATTCCTGCCATGAAAGCCTTCGACAATTCAAATAAAAATTACTAAGCAAAAATGAAGAAGTACTATGAAAAATGGACTTAAAGCATGAATCCTTTTTAGGGAAAAAAAGCCATTATTTTTTACTTCCACTTACATTTTAGTCACATTTGAATGAATGGAATCTCTTTGCAGTTCATTCAAGGTAATTGGTCTGTCTCAATGTTCTGTAAAAGTTTTAGGCAGCAATAATGCAATTTCTCTATGGAGGAATGGATTTCTAACTTGAAAGGAATGGTAGGGGCGAGCTGTGTGGTCTGACCCCACGCTACTTTCTACCACATGAAACAGAATACATTCCAAGCATTAGTGCTGCGGCTCAGTAGACTCTAAGCTGTACACTCCAAGGTGAATTGTAAAGTGTGTAAAATTAAGATGGCAAAGTCCTGACAGCTGGGGTGGGCAAAAGGCAATCTACAGGGCACACATGGGCCTTGGGCCTCCTAGGTGTGCCTCCCAATTGCCCCAGAAACCACAAAGCTTCAAGAATTAATAAAAAATTGGAATTATGTTCATGCAATTTTATGCTCTCAAACCAGACAAAACCTGGCTAAGTTCAAAGGTCAACCTCCCCTAAGGCAGATGACACCAAATTGGGAGGGATACCCAAACCCCAGAAGACAGGAGCAGAATTCAAAACAATCTTAACAGATTAGAGAGATGGGCTAAAACTAACAAAATGAAGTTCAACAGAGACAAAAGCAAGACACTCCACTTAGGCAGAAAAAATGGCATGCAAAGATACACAGTGGGGGATGCCTGGCTCGAGAGCAGTACATGTGAAAAAGATCTTGGAGTAATTGTGGACAAGAAGTTAAACATGAGCCAACAATGTCATGTGGCAGCTAAAAAAGCCAATGGGATTTTGGCCTGCATCAATAAGAGTCTAGTGTCTAGATCCAGGAAAGTCATGCTATCCCTCTATTCTGCCTTGGTTAGTTCACATCTGGAATACTGTTTCCAATTCAGGGCATCGCAATTGAAGGAAGATGTTGACAAGCAGGAATGTGTCCAGAGAAAAGTGACTAAAATGGCCAAGGGTCTGGAGAACAAGCCCTATCAGGAGCAGCTTAAAGAGCTGCAGAAGAGAAGGCTGAGAGGAGACATGATGAGGGCCATGTATAAATATGTGAGAAGTCATAGGGAGGAGAGAGCAAGCTTGTTTTTTGCTGCTCTGGAGACTAGGACGCAGAACAATGACTTCAAACTACAGAAAAGGAGATTCCACCTGAACAATTAGGAAGAACTTCCTAACTGTGAGAGCTGTTCAGTAGTGGAACTTTCTGCCCCAGAGTATGGTGGAGGCTCCTTCTTTGGAGGCTTTTAAACAGAGGCTGGATGGCCATCTGTCAGGGGTGCTTTGAATGCAATATTTCTGCTTCTTGGCAGGGGGTTGGACTGGATGCCCCATGAGGTCTCTTCCAACTCTTTGATTCTATAATTCTATGAAACCAATTAGTACATTTTGAGTCAACAACTCAATTCAATGGAGAGTTTTTTTCCACTTAGGATTCAGGTCATCGTTTAGTGTAGGAGAGTGCAGCCTGTCTGCTCTGAGTAGCAATGGCTTTCGTCACTCTCAACTAGAGGTCTTTCACATCATACATTATATCCTGTGGGCTAGAACATGGCATGTAGGAGGAGCGGGAGATATAATATGGCCCCTCATTTATATTTCCAGACTTTGTGTAGAAATGCAAAACTGCAGCTAAAAGTGAACCCTATTGGAATGAAGAACTTCCAACCCAAGAATACAATAGAGTTGAGCTGGAAAGTCTAGAAAATGCCCCAGAAGGGCATATTTTGTCAAAGATGGGTAAAGGAAACCACAGATACTGGTCCCATGGATATGGAGGTTGTGTTATATAGCTGACACCATCAGCCCCTAAAGTTAAGGACGCAAAGACTGAAAGCACAAAAAAAGCGAGCAAGGGAACATTAATGAGGAAAAGGCCCTTCTAGATAAATATAGCAAAAATAAATGGATAATGTTCCGCTCAAACTTATTTTTAACCAAATCACACAGTTTGTTTACACTGGAGTCTTACTGTTTTAAACAGTGACAATAACAAGCTGTACTATACTGACTTTGCCAGAATGAAAGCCTTGGTGTGAAATTCAATCACATCTGTGAAATATCTGGGAAGTGAGCCACTCAACTGCCTTCATTGATAAAGGGTTTATAGGGTTGCTGTGAGTTTTCCAGGCTGTCTGGCCATGTTCCAGAAGCATTCTCTCCTGGCGTTTCGCCAACATCTATGGTCAGCATCCTCTGAGGTTGTGAGGTCCATGAAAGTCTTCGACAACACAAAGGGTTTATATTTTGTTGTTTGTTCAGGAGTAGTTGATGCTCACAGCTAGTATACTAAATAGCTCTTACTTCTCTTTAGGTAATATCTTTATTATAAATTATATTCCTTCTATAAACTTGAATATGAATTTTTCAAGATGTTTGGTTACATAAGGGTCAGATATTGGAGAATTGTAGCATATGTATCCCCTGGTCTGAATGGTTGTTAGAATGGGATTATGAGAGTTGCAGTCCAAAATCTGCTGAAGGGCCACAGCATCAATCACATTAAAATGGATTTGTGTGTCCCAATATTAATTTTAACACAAAATGACAGCATCCTAAAACATATAGGTATTAATCACTTAAATCATCATGACTTGCTACTTTAAAATAGCTCATCTGTTTTTAAAAAAGGGAAGGAGTCATTCACTTCATTGAAAGTGATCATATTCTTTAAGAATCCAGCCTTCAAATGTTGGTAGACTACAACTCCCATCATCGACCATGCTGAAAAGTCATTCTTGTCCATCCCCATTTTAGGCTCTACATGTAAAGGAAGAAAACTTTTAAAATAATAAGCTGAGCAGAAGTTGTTTAAATCTATTTTAATGTAAAGTAGAAGTTTATTAGACATGATAAAATAAATACTTTTGCCACAACTGTTGCTATACTTTTTAATACATTTCTTACTGGTGTCCTGGTTTTGAGAACAAGAAGATGCACAACGTTGTGTATTTGGTTTCTTTCACAATTAAACTTTTTTTTAAAAAAAATTGAAAAACAAAAATGTACAATGAAAATTATTCAATATACGTACTGTGAACCGTCGTTATAGATGTTAGTTTTGTTTGGGATGCTTTTCAAATGCACATATTGCAATATAACAGAAATAACATCATTGAAAGTAGTAAATTTGCTACTGATTTACAATCATGATTTACAAAAATATGTTCTTCAGGATACCTCATTCATACATGATAGAGGTACATTTTTGGAAGTCCAATGAATAGTCCTTATGGTGAAGTGTTCTGAATGTTGGACTCCAAGAGACCACAGTTCAAATCCTTTCTTTAACCATGGAAACAAGTTTAGTGACTCTGAGAAAGTTACACTCTCTCAGCCTCTGAGGAAGGGAATGACAAACATCCTCTGAATAAATCTGCCAAGACAGCCTATGGTTGGGTTGCCATCACTCAGAATTTAAGGCACATATTTCTCTTGAGCACCAATACAAACGAATGTTAACAATGCAAATCAAAAACTGAATTACAGTAATATTAATAAAAATCAAGCATATATGACCTAGAACATGCATCTTAATGTTACGTATCAAAGAGCATTTTGTTGAGTTTGTCATAGGTTCTTTCCACACAGATGAAGAAAATCCCAGATTTTCTGTTTTGAACTGGAATATATGGGAGTGTGGATTCAGATAACCCAGTTCAAAGCAAATATTGTGGGATTTTCCACCTTGAGATTCTGGGTTATATGGCTGGGGGCCGTTCCATGCTGCCCTATATCCCAGAATATCAAGGCAGAAAATCCCATAATATCTGCTTTGATCTAGGTTATCGGAGCCCACACTCAGATAATTTGGGATTTCCTGCCTTGATATTCAGGGATATAGGGCTGTGTGGAAGGCTCCTAGGTGAAAGGGCCCATAGATAGGTGCATCTGAAAGAGAAAGCTGAGCTTATACACTTTTAAAGAAGTGCATGAAATGTGTACTTCAAGCTCACATTAAAAGCATTCATACCAAATGTTGAAGTTGAAAAGACTGCAGTGAATCTAAATGCTTTGTTGCTACATATCTCATATATTTACATAAGAGTCAACTTACTTATTCTGTAGAATGTTCTGATAATTTTTGATTAGTTGAGGATTGCAAAGGTGATTAGCCCTTCAGCTATCCTTTGACACTCATCAGCTATATCTAGCATAACCAAAGGCAAAGAGTCACAGAATAGCCAATTAACAATATCTGGAAAGCCAGACAAGTTGCCCTCTCTACTACAAACTCGACTAAAAATATTGTGTTTTTGACTGTTAAATCATAGCACCACAGTCATCTTATCCCAATGATTTATTATTCTACCTCATTCATTTTGATAGATGGGCCAGTTTTGTTTTCATCTGAGAGAACGGAGCTCTCCTTCTCTCTGTTAAACTTCCCTCGCCATATTTTTGGAAGCAAAAAGGAGGGCACATTTACCAATTGGCTGCTTCAGACCATTGATCCGACTTCACTCTTGAAGCCAAGATGACTAATTCATTAAAACAGGCCTGTGGATCTTTCAGCTGTTTATCTCTGTATTAGTTTGTAATCATGAATTAGTAGTTATCACTGTTGCCTTGCGACAAAAAGGAGCATTATTTTCAAAGCAAAAAGAAACAATCAGAAAGTGATTCGTGTTTGGTTGAAACAAACAACTTTCCTACTTTCCAGCTTTACATAACTTTCAAAACTAGTTTGACAGGCATTACATTTTAATCATGGCTTTCTTTCATGGGTGCTACATTCATTGCCCCCACTTTGCCATTTTAGTACCAAAGGAAATGAAACTCCTGTGTTTGGCTAAATAATCTATGGTACACTATCTTAATGGTATGATCTACATTGTGTAGACCCTGCAGTATGTACTATGGGAAAACGTTCTTCCTTGTCTTATCCCAGTGTTTAATAATTTGGGTAGTCTAGCAGATACTATAAGTAATCTGCATTAATAGAAAAATGCTTATTGGTGCAAAACCCCTGAGACAAGCAAATAAGTTGAAAACAAAATAATCACATACTTTAAGAGTACCAATTGCAAGAGAAGATACTTCTCCTTAAAAAATGCAAGCAAACAAGGAGCCATTATTTTTTGCTGTAGAGTAGGAAAGACTCACATTTACCACAATGTAAAAACAATAAATACAGTAATACAATTTGAGATTTTAAGTGCACCTTGTGTCTACGGTCAATTTAAAAAACTTAGTTGAAAAATCCTGGTAAGTGCTGTACAAATGCTTTCAGTTTCTCAATTTATTACAGGGTATTTGCTGGTTTCAAGTTCAAACAAAATCAGACGCAAGTCAATGTCCAGCAGGCCTTCCCTATATAGCACCATTCCATACTCGGGGAGCATGTGTCGGATGTTGTCACCCCTGTGCACAGTTCTCATTCCCATTTATCCAGAGACATATCTGGGCATATTTAAGGGGAGTAATTCGAACTGCGACATTGTAATCCTGCTGTTCTCCATTGACATCCACCCACTGATGACCTGAATAAATGGCAATAATTTTGCGCTTCCATTTTTTTTCATTGGGCTCCTTAAGGCGCAGGTAGATTCCTGATCCTGTAGAGCCCGACTCAGCATCACAATACTGGTAGAAGAGATCATTTGATTCCTCCGAAACACTACAGAAGCGGTAGACCAGCTGGCCAGAGCGATCAGAATCATATCCAGAAAAGTGGATCATGCTTCCAGGCATCATTTTACTAGCTGGGCTGATGCCCAGATCCATGTATTTCTTTTTATGGGGACGCTTGAGTTCCAAAACAGCATAATCATAATCTACTGCAACATCTCCAGTTACACCTTTCAACCAGCCTTTGGGGATCTGAGTACTCTTAACTCTGGTCCACTGGAAAGAAGGTTTTCGTTCAGATTTCTTCTCATCCAGCCCAGACGTCTTTTGTTTTCTGCCAGCTCGACTGCTGCCAGACCTCCGTCGAAGTCGTTTAGCATCAACGTGGTGAACCTCAACCTCCGACGCCTCCCTCTTGCTCCTCCTGGCAGCACCTCGGCGTCTCTTGCCACTGCCTTTGGATTTCAGCTTCAGCAACCCCACCCTCAGCTTCTTGCTGCCTTTCATGTAATCTTTGCCATCGTGCACACAGTGAGCAGCTGTGAGGACATGTTTTGGGGAAATCAGGATGCCACTACAGCCTGTGGAGATCTTAACAGCTGTGTTGAAAGGGTAGTTGGTCAGAAACCGTGTGTCGGAAATGCTGAACCTACTGTCTGTGCCATAGACCTGCCTCTTCCTTCTTGACAGGCCCTTGGCGGTGGCATTTGCCGCTGGATCAGGATCCATCCCAAGGACATTAACTTCTGTCAGGGTCCTTGTGCCATTCTCAAAGACGGTCTCGTAGGAGAGCAATTCATTCAGGTCAGCCAAACGCGGGGCTGGGAGTGTCCTTTGGCATTCGATCCCACAGACTCCACTCAGCTCCAACTTGCCCTCTCCTTCAAATTTAGGAGTATCCAGGGAGAAAGTCTTTTCCTTCACAATCTGGGGTAATTTCTTTAACTGCCAACTAAAATCTTCTTCTACATCTATCCCATGAATGAGATGAAAAGAGGGAATGGAAAATAGTAGTAACAGCAGAACACAGCCCATCTTGTCTTTGTTTCTGTTTAAGAAGCACACAGAGAGACAAAAAGAGTGAGTTTAAAATACAGTAAATTCATAGAGGTTTAATATAAATATAACACTATATTTGTCTCATCACACAGACCATAAAAATAGCCACATTATTCCTAATAAAGGCAATAAACAGAATACGATAGGCCCCTCATGCAAACATCAGTAACTTTATTTATTTTAGGTTTTTGTGATTCTGTTCTCCATTTGATTATATCAAAATTTAAGTACCTATATAAGCCATTTAGCTGGGAAAACCTAGAAGGAATCATAAACTATTTTTGTTTCTATTCACTCTGCTTTTAACCACATGGTGGCCTAAGCTATGGAATTGTGGTAAGCCTAGGATTAGCTGGAATGCATACTGCTTTCCAAATCCATTGATGCCCATGTATGCAAGTGAACTAATGAATTAAAGAAAACTTCCTAGGGTGTCGGATTGGCAACTGAACTCATTCCTATAAAAGTTAGTTTGAAAAGGGTGAATATGGGTATTTGATTCAGGTCAACCAGTTATAGTTTAACTAGAATACTGAACTAAAGATAAAACTCTGCAAGGTGCCCCAAAATAGCACAGATTTAGGACAGAGCTATAAAGGGCTGAGCTTAGCACAGCAGGCTAAACTGCTGTGCTGAAGAAAAATCCTGCCGATCAAAAGGTCAGAAGTTCTATCCCAGGTTGGGGTGAGCACCTGCCATTAGCTCCAGCTCACCTGCGCACCTAACAGGCCGAAAGCAGAAATGCAAGTAGATAAATAGGCATCGCTTTTAGCAGGTAGATAATAAAAGCACTCTTAAAAAGGACATCAATGGAGGAAAACTCCTCAGCATGGAAGATGGAGTAACAGCATCCCCTGTGGCCGGAGTCAAGAACGACCTCCAAGTTGTCGGAAATAAGATGGGAAAAACTGCCTCTACCTCTGTTTGTGTTGTTTGTTCTTGTTAATTGCATGACTGGCATTGAATGTTTGCTGTATGGGTGTTCTGTAAGCCACTCTCAGAGAAGGGTGGGGTATAAATACTGTCAATAAATAATGAATAAAATAAATAATATACACTGGGTTTGATTCCAATACCACTACCATCAGCATCCAAATAGATATCAAAATCTGCCCCATTAAACAAAAATAGTGCCCCTTATATAAAACTGCACAATCAAGGTTTTCTGTTTGGATTTTAAAATATATTATCAATCCATGGATGGCTGGGTCTCAGGATGTAGAATCCAAAGATGTGATGGGCCAGCTGTATGCAGCTGCACAAAATACTATACTGCGTTTCCACCCTAAGGTATACATGACACCACTTGGAGTTCCATCAGTGAATCCTTTCTAACATTATATTTAATTTAAAAATAGCCATGGAGGAGCTCACATTGTGCCAGGGACACCACACTAGGAAACTTTATATGCATGATGTTGGTAGTGGTGTGGTTGTTTTGCCTTTGTTTCTCAGACAGCTGTGAGAGGACCTTTTCTCTTTCCAATCCTGGCCATCACTCTTCCACCCCAGTTTTCTACCCACAGTATATCTTTAATCAAAACATAGGCATTCTGTTGCGTTCTGTCCCAAATCCACTAAACATGATTGTCCTTCAACAGTACCCTGGAAACATCCTTCCTATAAGTGGATGCCATATAGTTAAAGCTCCAAAACCTTTCCAACGTTTTGTTTCTTTTGGTTTTGTGTGTGTGTGAGAGAGTGTGTGTGTGTCAGGAGCAGCTTGAGAAACTGCAAGTCGCTTCTGGTGTGAGAGAATTGGCCGTCTGCAAGGACATTGCCCAGGGGATGCTCTGATGTTTTTAATGTTTTACCATCCTTGTGGGAGGCTTCTCCCCATGCAAGGGTATGGGGAGCTGGAGCTGACAGAGGGAGCTCATCCGCGCTCTCCACGGATTCGAACCTACGACCCGTCGGTCCTCAGTTCTACCACCACAAGGGTTTAACCCATTGTGCCTTCAGGGGTCCTCTTTCCAACTGTGATGAAAGGTTAATAGGTTCATACATCTTTCCCCTTATGAGGATAAAAGCACCAAGTGATAATTTGCAAACTGGGATTCGACTTCGAAAAAGAAAAAGGTGAAACAACACATTTGCATGTAAGAAGTGAAGCAACTTTCTCACTATGCTATGCCAAACCTAGATCCAAGATTCCTGCATACTGGTAAACTGCGTAAACAATAAAGCATTGCTTCTCCAAAGTGAAGTGTAATGTTTCAAAATATTTACAAAAGCATTGGCTGTTGCCATTTGGAGAACAGAGTTTGGCCTCCTTTTCTCACTTCATAATTTTAGATCTATGGAGACCTCAACAGCATTTTTCCTTCTAATTATCTCTTGAAAGCTAGAAATTTAAGGATTGTCTGGTTAGATTCTGTGGGTTAGATATTGTAATTAAAGTGCAGATCAGAATATATATATATATATATATATATATATATATATATATATATATATATATGTCCTAGATATTTTAAACAAGGCAGAGGTTCACATAATAGCAAAAGAAATCATTCTCAAGTCAGAATTAAAGGCTAAAGAAAAGGTACAGAAGAGCCCCTGGCTCAAATATTCTAAGCTGGAGGAATAAAAACAATGATCAGGATCCAATAAGGCTGGAGTGTGTAACCTGATTAAAACATAAATGTACGGCTTTTAAACTATCTAGAACAGAGGTTCTCAAACTGTGCTCCGTGGAGCCCTTGAGAAATGTAGGAAAGTTTTGAGCTGCCAGAAACAGCAGCAGTAGTAGCAGCATCCTCCCAGGGCACAAAGCCTTTCTCCCTCGACCCCCCTCACTACCCAGACTGTTTCCCTCACTGCCCAGACCCCACCACCCGTTTTCTTTTTTCCCAAAACCGTATTTCTCCTCCACTGCTCAGGGAGTGCTTTGATTATTATTTTTTTGATGCATGGCAGAAGTGGGTTGAACAGGATGGCCCCTGGACTTCCTGTTATTGTTGTTGTTATTATTATTATTCATTTTAATTACAAAGGCTGGGTGTCCATCTGTTGGGGGTGCTTTTGATTGTATTTTTCCTGCATGGCAAAAGCGGATTGGAATGGATGGTCCCTGGGGTTTCTACTACTATTGTTGTTATTGTTGTTGTTCATCATTATTACAAAGCCTGGATAACTATCTGCTGGGAGTGCTTTGACTATGTTTTTCCTGCATGACAGAAGCGCATTAGACTGGATGGCCTCTGGGGTTTCTGCTATTATTATTAATATTATTATTATTACAAAGACTGGATGGCCTTCTGTTGGGGGTGCTCTGATTGTGTTCTTCATGCAAGGCAGAGGGGGGTTGAACTGGATGGCCCCTGGGGTCTTCCACTGAAATACAGTTAAGTTTATGTTGGTTAAAATTGTTTTTGGATTGTTGTGAGTTTTCCAGGCTGTATGGCCATGATCCCGAAGCATTCTCTCCTAACGTTTCGTCTGCATCTATGGCAGGCATTCTCAGAGATTGTGGGATCTGTTTTTCATTTTAAATATTGTATTGTTCTTTCTTTTCTTTTCTTTGCACTGTGTATATTAGTTCATACAAACACTTTCCGTCCATCTGCCACCAGCCCAGCCCATGCCATATATATAAAGGTAAAAGTTTCCCCTGACATTAAGTCTAGTCATAGCTGATTCTGGAGGGTGGAGCTCATCTCCATTTCTAAGCCGAAGAGCCAGCATTGTCCATAGACACCTCCAAAGTCATGTGGCTGGCATGACTGCAAGGAGCGCCGTTACCTTCCCACAGAAAAGGTACCTATTGATCTACTCACATTTGCATGTTTTCAAACTGCTAGAGTTCACCCTGTTCCCCAAATTCGAACCACCAACCATTTGATCAGCAAGTTCAGCAGCTCAGTAATCTAACCTGCTGCGCCACCAGAGGGCCTTTTTGCCACACACACACACACTTATACATACATACATACATTTCTTGGGGTTCCACAAGAAACGTTTGCTTCAAAAAGGGCTCTGCGGTTGAGAAAGTTTGACAACCCCTGGTTTAGATTATCTGCCCAAAGGACTAGTCCAACCCTAGCATAGTCTTTGAAGTAATAGTAGAACAACTGTTTATAAACAATATTCTTGTTGGGACAGGAAACCTAGGGCTACTGTTTTCATGAACTAGGAGCCTCATCCTTTTCAATGCAGGAATATGGCCGGATGTTCCTTATCTGCCCCTCAACATCTCCTCATTCTGCCATGGCCACTGGATGGCTGTGAAGGTTGAATGGCTGCTGTGACAGGAGCAGTGTCAGAACCTGGAGATTGGTGTTTAGTGAAGTATACACTGCCTTATCATCTGTGTATACACTGCCTTATCGTCCATTCAGCTAGAAGAAAATTTAGGCTTGTGTTACACAAAGCATTTTTCAATCTTCTGCCCTGGTTCTCCCTCTTTCCAAAAGGAGAGATTCTTTCCAATTGGATTTACTTCTAGCTTGCCTTCCTCGCAAGAGTTAATACAGAGAAATAGGCAGAGCAGTGATGCATCCCTTTGAAAGCAGCCCCAACACTGCCACAAAGACCACACCAGCTACTGGGATTATTTTTTGGTCTGCTAAACACATGTTCCCCAGCCAAGCAAACTCAGAAAGGTAGCTTGTAATTAACCTCTGACTATTTGGCACTTGTGATGTAATGGAGACCGTAGCACTGCGGGACTGCTCCAGCTGTAGCAGGAAAGCTTCAAAACTTTCCCTGCCCTAGTTTCTCCTTGATCTTCCTAGATTCAGCTCCCCCTCATTTCAAAAATGTCAAGGAAAGAGTCAAGACACACCACCTTCCTTCACTCCCTCGCTCGTTTGTGTCTCCCAGAAGTGGAGTAAAGGCCTGTGCAGAGATGAGGGAAGTGTGATATTGGAGAAAACAGCAAAGGAAAAAGAAGCTTTATTATAGCAACTCCATCTAGATACAAGGAGATTATGTTACCTGCTGCTACATGATGGGGAGAGAAAAAAAGAGGTGAATGAAGACATTATT